ACGTCTACTGAAGGTCCTATGTGGAAAGAAGCCATCAAAAGTGAGGTGGATTCTATCCTTAAAAATCACACATGGGAATTCGTTGATCTTCCTCCGGGACATAAACCTTTGGGATCCAAGTGGATTTTTAAACGGAAAATGAAACATGACGGTTCCATCGATAAGTACAAGGCCAGACTTGTAATCAAGGGATATAAGCAACGTGAGGACCATGATTACTTTGACACGTATTCTCCTGTGACGAGAATAAATTCCATTAGGATGATACTAGCAATTGCCGCATTGCGGAAATTGGAAGTTCATCAAATGGACGTAAAAACCGCTTTTCTAAATGGTGACATAGACGAATAAATCTATATGGAACAGCCCGAGGACTTTCGTGTTCCAGGCCAAGAAAGGAAAGTGTGTAAATTAATTAAATCATTGTATGGATTGGAACAAGCCCCTAAATAGTGGCACGAAAAAACCGCGACTCGTGTGCGCGGGCGACCTGCGGACACGAATGTCCTCTGGAACAGAGATGCTCGAGTTCTGTCCGGAACAGAAACTCTCGAGGTCTTCTATTCGAAACAGAGACGCTAGAGGTCTTCTGTTCGCAACAGAGACCCTCGAGAAGTTGACTCGGATATTCTAACATGTATGGTAGAAAATGAACCGGATTTTCTAACATGTTTGGTAGAAAATGAGCCACGGACTTATACGGAAGCCGTGACGTCTACTGAAGGTCCTATGTGGAAAGAAGCCATCAAAAGTGAGGTGGATTCTATCCTTAAAAATCACACATGGGAATTCGTTGATCTTCCTCCAGGACATAAACCTTTGGGATCCAAATGGATTTTTAAACGGAAAATGAAACCTGACGGTTCCATCGATAAGTACAAGGCCAGACTTGTAATCAAGGGATACAAGCAACGTGAGGGCCATGATTACTTTGACACGTATTCTCCTGTGACGAGAATAAATTCCATTAGGATGATACTAGCAATTGCCGCATTGCGGAAATTGGAAGTTCATCAAATGGACGTAAAAGCCGCTTTTCTAAATGGCGACATAGACGAAGAAATCTATATGGAACAGCCCGAGGGCTTTCGTGTTCCAGGCCAAGAAAGGAAAATGTGTAAATTAATTAAATCATTGTATGGATTGAAACAAGCCCCTAAACAGTGGCACGAAAAAACCGCGACTCGTGTGCGCGGGCGACCTGCGGACACGAATGTCCTCTGGAACAGAGATGCTCGAGTTCTGTCCAGAACAGAAACCCTCGAGGTCTTCTGTTCGAAACAGAGACGCTAGAGGTCTTCTGTTCGCAACAGAGACCCTCGAGAAGTTGACTCGGATATTCTAACATGTATGGTAGAAAATGAACCGGATTTTCTAACATGTTTGGTAGAAAATGAGCCACGGACTTATACGGAAGTCGTGACGTCTACTGAAGGTCCTATGTGGAAAGAAGCCATCAAAAGTGAGGTGGATTCTATTCTTAAAAATCACACATGGGAATTCGTTGATCTTCCTCCGGGACATAAACCTTTGGGATCCAAGTTGATTTTTAAACGGAAAATGAAACCTGACGGTTCCATCGATAAGTACAAGGCCAGACTTGTAATCAAGGGACACAAGCAACGTGAGAGCCATGATTACTTTGACACGTATTCTCCTGTGACGAGAATAAATTCCATTAGGATGATACTAGCAATTGCCGCATTGCGGAAATTGGAAGTTCATCAAATGGACGTAAAAACCGTTTTTCTAAATGGCGACATAGACGAAGAAATCTATATGGAACAACCCGAGGGCTTTCGTGTTCCAGGTCAAGAAAGGAAAGTGTGTAAATTAACTAAATCATTGTATGGATTGAAACAAGCCCCTAAACAGTGGCACGAAAAGTTCGATCATGCAATGTTAATTAATGGGTTTAAAATAAACGAAAGAGACAAATGCGTCTATGTGAAGAGCACGGTAGACGGCTATGTCATTTGATGTTTATACGTGGATGATATACTCATCGTGTGTAGCAATAATCTAATGATTAATTCTACCAAAAGCATGTTAAATTCTAAATTTGACATGAAGGATATGGGACTGGCCGATTTAATCTTTGGGATTAAAATAATTAGAGGACCTGACGGTCTTACGCTAAGCCAATCCCATTACGTTGATAAAATCCTTACGAAATTTAATAAGGATGATTATCAAGAGGCAATGACTCCATTAGATAAAAACGTACAACTTACCAAAAATCGTGGAGAGTGTATTTCTCAAGTAGAATACGCTAGGATTATTGGAAGCTTGATGTATCTAATGAGTTGTAACAGGCCTGATATTGCCTTTGTGGTTAGTAAGCTAAGTAGATATACTAGCAACCCCGGTGATGAACACTGGAAGGCAATAATAAGGATTTTGAGGTATTTACGTAAAACCCAAAATCTTGGACTGCACTATGGAAGATATCCAACTGTACTTGAAGGGTATAGCGACGCTAGTTGGATATCCGACATAAAGGACTCTAAGTCCACAAGTGGATATGTTTTCACTTTGGGAGGTGCAGCCGTATCATGGAAATCCTCAAAACAAACGTTAATAACTAGATCCACGATGGAGTCTGAGCTAATAGCCTTGGATAAGTGCACTGAAGAGGCTAAATGGCTACGCCATTTTCTCGAGGATATTCCAAGTTGGGAGAAGCCTGTCCCTCCAATATGCATACATTGCGATTGTCAAGCGGCAATTTGAAGGGCATAGAGCAATCTCTACAATGGTAAATCTAGACACGTTCGTCGTAGACATAACACCATTAAACAACTCCTCACAGCGGGTGTTATCACTGTTGACTACGTGAAGTCAAAGGATAACATAGCGGATCCGCTAACCAAGGCATTGGATAGAGAATTGTTGGAGAAGTTGTCACGAGGAATGGGACTAAAGCCCGTGAATTGTAAAGTTCTATAGTGGATACCCAATCTAGTTGGTCCTAGGTTCAAAAGGGACAACTAAATTATAGAGCGAAGGATGGTCACTGTGGGGATCCCGGACTCCTACCCACTCCTCGTTAAAACAGTGACTCCCGCACGAGGTTAGCAAAAATGTTTGCTTTAATGATTCTAAAATGTTGATCTACTCGATAACATTGGAAGAGTATGTGGGATACTCGTGAAAGAATCGCCTATGTGAGAGAGAAGAGAGCCGCTTCAAAGGAGAACTGTAAAGGCTCAGTTCTTTAGAAACTCTTGCAGAACCAGGACGGTGACCCATGGCCAAAACGGGCACACCCATGAGAACGGAACAAAGTTGGAAGGTTCTTGTGTAAAGATAAGTCAATGTTTACACGACGGCAGTATAGTTCAAGGACATCGAGTCTACTAGACAGCCAGTAAATAAACGTGTCTCTACAACGGAAGGTTCAAAGGATAAAACCTACCTCTCCGTATGCAAGTATCATCCGGTGAACACAACGTGTCCTCCTATCTTCGTGTCTTTTAAGTCTCGAAAATCAATTTTCATTCATGTGGGGGATTGTTGGAAAAATGTGTTAAAAATTGCATTAAATGGTCATTTTGGGGCAATTATTTGAGTGAGGTCCACTTCCGATTTGGGTTGGGTCAAAGTAGTTTCGGATTGTCCTTGTTAAGGGCTACAATTCGATATGTGGTACACTCAAAACGGATAACGGGTGAATGAGAAATTGATTCTCGAAGTTCACTCGTTGAAATGGAAAAACTGGGAAAATGATGAGTTTCTAGTGTGTTTTATCCACACCGAAAAAACTCAAGGGATTTTCACCCCCTTATAAAGGGAAAGCCTCTTTTAAGGAGTTAAGATTCCTAAGGGTAAAGGCTATCTCTTACGCGCAGGGGGGGTGCCGATCAAATCCCGAAACGGAGAAGAAAAACTGCGATTCGTGTGCATGGGCGACCTGCGGACACGGATGTCGTTTGCGCACATTAGGCATTGGAGAGAAGAAAGAGCTCATTCATACCTTCTACTCCTTCTAGCGAAATTCTAAACCATTTTAGTATTGAATCAAAGTTCTTTAATTTTCTTCTCTGTTCTTAATTTGTTTTATTGTTGAATTGGGATATTTACAAAAATTGTAAAATTTGTTTTCTGAGAGAGTTTTGCGCATCAATAATGACAATATATATGGAGATTTGACACACCTTCTAAATAAGTCGAGACCAATGCGCCAAATTTATATATCATTAGAGAGTTTGGTGCGTTAAACCCGTAAACTTTGATCGCGGTTGTCAGAAATTGAATTTTAGACTTTATCTCCTGTGACACCCGTTGACAAGAGGTACGCCAACTGCCGCATGCTAGGTTTATAAAACTGTTAGCATACAGGTTATTTGTTTAGTCTCAAATGACATTTAGAGCCTTTTGGTACTTCACCCATTAAAATTTTCTGAGGCGATAATTAGTTTGCACATAAACCTGGTTTCTGCCCCCACGTGGCCACGTTTGATATATAAGCTATTCCATCCATATCCATCCAAATTTATTAAACCGTAGCACAAATGTGATGAAACCGTGCTTGGAAATCGCATCATATCAGCCTACTTTCTCAGATGAAAAACTCAAATAATTATTTCTCAAATAATTAACTCACCCACTAATGATTTATACACACACGTGACACGTATGTATATATAATATTTAATATATTAAATAATACGAGTAAATCAGATAATTATTGAAATAGTTAAGCACAACAACAATCTGGTCATCTCATTCAAAACCGACTTTAACAAATTCAATTCGTGGACACACAAGAATATCACAAATAAGACACCATTTATTATTGCAGCTGTTTTTTTTTGTTTTGCCGTCAGTACCTATCAGGGAGTAATTTATTTTGAAAACTGAAAAATTGTACTCAATTTAGTTGAAACTACCCTGTTATTAGTTCAATTTAGATAAATTTCTCTTTTCGTATCACTAAAAGATTAAATTAAAATAATTCAGGTCGTGACTCATCACAAACAATCATAAACAAACAAATGTAAACATCATTATATTTTGAGAGTAGATTTAAAGGACAAAGTAGTAGATACATATAGGATCTAAGGAGAAGTGTGGACATAGAAGAGATAGAAGCAAAAAAAACCCTGTTTTTTATAGAAGAGATTGAAGGAGATTATATAAAGAGTAGAGGTGGGGGTAGTGGTATAAAAAATCAGAGTTTAGAAAGAGATAAAACTCCACTTCTTACTGCAGAAGTAGCTAGCAGGTGATCACAACAGCTGAATACTTGCAGATGATGGCAGCCTACTATCCCAACAATCTCACCAGTGACCACATTCAACAGGTCTCCATCCATTGCTTAACTACCTCAACTCTTTATGCTGTTGCTTCTGCTTCTGCATGCCACAGCAGCAGCCTGCACCTGCCCCTTTTCATTCTCAACTCATTTCTTTGTTTTTATTTTACTCTATTTTCCTCCATTCCAATCAGAGTTTCTTCATTACTTCTCCATTTTTCTTTTCTCCATTCTCTGTTACTTCTGCTCTCTGCCTCTTCTGCCCTGTCTGCCCCTTTGGCTGATCTTATTATTGATTTGTTTATCCTATATCTATTTAGAGAGTAATGAGCTGAACTTGAAATGTATACATATAAGTTGCTTTTTGCTTCATGTTTCATACACAAATTATTTTCTCTCTGCGCCTTAATTACTCATCTTTCTCTTTACATATTCTTTTAACTTTATTAGTCTTCATCCCCACATACATGATACATCTAGGACCGGTGAGGGTACACATATGCATGGTCCTCTTCTGGTAGGGATTATACGTAGATAACCTTATATAGGAGTATATCTTTTTAATTTGTTGGTTCAAAATTTAATTTCTGTCCAAGATAATTAATACTGAGGTTGGGGGACATGTCTATTTTAGAAACTGGTAATGTTCTTTTAAGCATTTCAATTCAGGCCCATGCACCATCTTATCAGTCCTACTGTATTATTTACAATTATTTTCATCCATATACAAAAAAGGAGCATGGGTTTGAGATAAAGTTTGATAATTTTATCCTTTTAAGAAACTTTATTCAACACATAGAATCCTATCTTATTCTACACAGGCCCTTCTTCGGTAAATGGTTTCATGTTTTAGTCTTGGAATCTAACAAGTCAATTTATTTGTGGCGAATAATTGTTTTTTTGGATGCCTATGTTTCGCTGAATGGTTCTTGATATGTACTCCCTCCCTCCGGGATAAAACTTAGAAGTTTGTTTTTGAAATGGTATTTTAGAAGCTCAATTAATAGAAGAATAATGAGTGGGTAGTGAAGGGTACTTATCCACTCAAATGTAAAAAGTGGGTGAGTATGGAAGGGTAGTTAAGTGGGTGTTTGGAACTGATTCTAGTCACCCCCAGTTTCTAAAAAAACTTATTCCTCAGCTTCTAAAAAAACTGATTCTAGGAGTAAATTAGAGCACCAGAATCACTTCTTCACTTTCTCCCAAACACTTAAACTTCTGCTTCTTCTCTGAAAGAGTAGAAGCAGTTTTAAGAATCAAATACAAACACCTCATAAGACATTTAATGTAAAAGAAATTCTCTAAAAAGGTTAGGTAAAACACTAAATAGGACATTCCAAAACGGGATTCACGGAGCATTAGGGAGTAATATCTACGATATTGCGTGTAAATATAAAAAGACAAAATTACTTAAAAAGCATTAAAATATAGAAAAATGCTCAAATAAGAACAGGGCAAGTTTTAGACTTTTAAGAGTATATATAGTCTTATTTTGGATATAAATTATTAGTCGTATTTGTGCAATTTATCTGAATATTAGTCCTATTTAGATCGATCAATATCTAATACTCCTTAGAAAACATGAGTGCGATTCATAAAAAAATTTCATATTTATCCTAAAATTACCACCCATTAAGTGCTAATAAAGGATTAAAAATAGTTAAGGCACAAGCTTAAGGGTCGACGTATTACAAACTATGTTACTTAAGTTTTTTAATGGTCTTATACTTAATTAATTTCAGCAGTTCCTTAATATAATGTTCATTTTGGTTCAGTACTTGGATGAGAATAAATCTTTGATTCTGAAGATTGTGGAGACGCAAAACTCCGGTAAACACGCGGAGACTGCTGAGTAAGTATATAATACTTTGATTTATTATTATTATATTATTATTATTATATTATTATTATCTGTTTCATACTCCGTAATAATTACAAAGGGATTATTTCCATTTTGTGAAACAAGTTTGTGATTTTTATTATTTATCTGACATATATTGATCAATATCTGATAATATTTAAACAGTTCTTTGGGTAAAAAACAACTACGTAGTATATACACAGTAATATATATGATCCTATTATGTTCTATATATAGAGCCCGTTTTGTAGCACGAAAATCGGCTGTTTTGGCTGATTCTGCCGAAATTTATGAAGTTCTGGCTGAAGTGACTGCATTGACTAATTCTGCTGATACAAGAAAAAAATATTTTTAAAATATATTTTATTAATAAAATAAAGAAAAAATTATATGTAAAAATAGCTAAAATGATCATCTACATTAACTTCAGCCAATACAACCAGAAAAGTAACTCCAACTTACTTTTTCGGCTTATTACACAATTCAGCGCGTGAAAGTAAAATTTACGTGTTTGGTAAAAGAATTGACTGATAAGCCTGATAAGCCGAAAATGAGGGTTGCCAAACGGCCTCATAGAATGGAGTAATAACTATCCCCCGTTTTGAAATTATGTTTTACAATTATTATTCGGGATATCCCAAAACAAAGTCCATACTTCAAGTTATTTCTATATTAGATAGGTTTTTTATTTTTCATTTATCCTTTTGCTATCATATACTAGTATGTACTCCGTAGTATTTTTATTGAATTGACGTGTTGCTCCCAATTCAATATGCATTTACCACATTTGTCGTACCTTTGGCCTTTGGGTACTACATCTTGTAATATTCTAATTAAAGGCCAACTTTTTTTGAAGGAATTCTAAGTTTAATTTGACAAGTTAACTTTATTTTCTATCCTAGTAACTTAATTGTGCGTGACGGATGGATAATTTGTTTTGTACTCCGTTTTTTGGTGTGACAGTTTTCTAAAACATACGTACATTACAAAAAAAATTACGGGATTAACACGGAATTTGGCACGGACTTATCGATTTTTCGTGCCAAATAGCTCGTGTCAAAGTTTTTTTGGCACGGATTTGGCATATCCCTGCCAAAATCTCTGCCAAATCCCTTCCAAAATTAATGTCAATCCCATGTTTTTTTTGTAGCGGTAGTACTTCGTATTTCTTTATCAATCGAAATATTAACTTGTTTTATATAGGGGTGGGCGTGGTTGGTTAACCGTGTTTTGGTTAACCAACTTCGAGAAACCTATTACTTCGGTTAACCGAATATCGGTTAACCAAAGCTTCGGTTAACCGAGTATCGGTTAACCAAAACTTCGGTTAACCACAAACCGGTTAACCAAAAACCATCAAACCATTGATTAAATATATACACACACCATGTTCTTTCTATATTAATTAAGTCCAAACAAGAGAAAAATAAATCATGAGAGTGGAATACGGGAAAAGATAAAATACACTTAATAAGAATAAACGTGTTCAATTGCTTCAAAAAAAGAATACACATGTTCAAGTCTCATGATTGCAGAATGGACAAATTAATTATAACTCACAAAAGCTTTGACTAATTATTAATAATATGAAATTAAAAATTTTATAGTGACAAACAGAATTTGGTTTCTTCACATGTTTATTAGAATTGATGTATCTAGATGTGTTGGATACATATTTATCTTTCCAAGTTCTCCGAGAAAGTGAAGTTCATGACCAGACATGAACATACCGGTTATTGATTAACCGATAATAACATATTTCTAAAATCGTAACTGTATCGCGAACCGTTTATTCTCACGGTTGGTTAACCGTACAGTGGATTTAAAAAATTGCGGTTCGGTTAACCGGAAAAAACGGCGGTTTTCCGCTTTTTAGGCGCGGTTATACGGTTACGGTTTTTTATGCCCACCCCTAGTTTTATATATGCGGTATATATTGATGTAGTACATATAAGTTACAATATCTTTTTGTGACAGAAACCAAGCGAGGCTTCAAAGAAACCTAATGTATCTGGCTGCAATTGCTGATTCACAACCACAACTTCCCTCCATGCATTCCCAGGTAAAACTCCAGATAACTTTATTCATTCGTTTCTCGTTTGTCTCAATATAAATTTTTTCTCGTTTTTCGATAAAGAATTTTGATCCGTACCATTTAATTTTCCCTCACTTTATTCTTGTATACACAATTTAAGGTTTCACATTTCTCAATTTCTTAGTTTTTAATCTGCCCGCAAAGTCAAAACAAGAGTTTTTATTGAGCTACTACTAAACCTTTTCTTTTGTTTTGTTGAAATGAAATTCGGTGGTGGGGATATATGAAAAAACAAAAGATGCAATATTAAGTACATTTGATAATTCTAATCCAACTGATTGTGAAGGTATCGAATTCAAAACACGCTAGGCACATAAGTAGGGGTAGGAATAGATCAGGCGGCCTGTCAGGGGCCTGAGGCCTGGCCAGGTTAAGGTCTGGCCTGACCTGGTCTGTTTAGTAAATAAATCAGGCTTGAGCTTTTTTAAATATTCGTTTATATTAATAGGCCAGGCTTAGCCCGATTTTAAAGCCTATTTGGCCTGACAGGCCGGCCCGTTTACACTTATGGATTAGTATATATTTATACATACTACTTATTTGATACCTATTGGTTTACTAATTCATTAAAATTGAATGTCCATTAGCCCACTATGTTTTTACTTGGTTAACAGGCTCGTTAACAGGCTTCAGGCCAGGCCAGACTTTCTAGCAGGCCAGGCTTAGGCCGAAAATTAGGCCTAAAACCGGTAAAAGGCCAGGCTTGGGCCTACACTGTTTAAAACAGGCTCGGCCTGTTTAGGCGAAAGCCTGGCCTGGCCTGACCTGTTTCCACCCCTACACATAAGGGTTTGAAACTCATTGAAATGAGTTTCAGTCATGTTTACTCCAGGTCCCCGGCCCCTTCCCCCGGACGCCACGGAATAAAAAAAGATTACTTGAATAAAAAAAGATTATTTGAGATTCCAAGTAAATGAATAGCGACAAAATGACATACTAATCTAGATTCGATATAAAACGCACGGCAGTATATGTTTACCTCGGAGGCTCGGAGGGGTCCAGGCAATGCCTAGCCAATGCCTAAAGTCCGTATAACATGTAAAAATCTATTAAACTTTTCTGTATACTAGGTAATTAATTAATTTCACACATAACACTATTTCACAGTATGAAAATTACATGTTTTCGTATGATGTTGAACATTTGAACATATACATAATTTGCAAAGAGGCCTAGATTATACACAAATATTAAACACCTGTTTATCCAAGAGATCCAATTTATATATAAATGCTAAACCCTTGTTTTATCCGACATTTAAATTTATTCTAAGATGTACAAATGCCACATTTTATTTTTGAGCTTGTCCTGGTGTTAGGGTAGTTTTCCATACCTTGGTGAGAATGATAAAATGGTAGGTAGGGTAAATGATGTTTTCAATTAGATTAGAATTTTCTGGTCTAGTATCGTCAGGTAAATGTATGATGTTTCGTGCCTATTTTACAACTAATAAAGTCTTGTATGATCTAGTTCGATTTGATTAAATTTGGTTAAAATTGTTTAGATCTGTGACAATAGCGGTCCACTTTAAAACGTGCTAGTACTTCAAATGGAAATGTGTTTTTGGAGGAAATGTTACATGCTCTATAACAAATACTCCCTACGTCCCATATTTATCTTCGTAGTTCGGTTTACGATGTTTGACTGACGATAAAGCAATTTGATCCCTGTTCACACTCAGATTATTTTTAGTAAATTAAATTTACATATTCATAAACTACATTAAATCCGCTACAAAGGCTGATCAAGAAAATTTAAGTTTAATAAAAATTTGATATATAAAGTAAAAGTTTAAGAGTAATTTGAGTTGACCGTGTAAATAGTAACTATGAAGATAATTTTGGGACGGAGAGAGTAGATGTTAATTCCTACATTATTTCATCCTTGAAATGGTAAATGCATTTTTGGGCAGTACGCTACGGCGGCTGAGAGCGGGATGGGGCAGCAGTCCGGAGCGCGCTACCTGCAGCAGCCACATCAAGCACAGCAAATGGCGTCACAATCCCTCATGGCAGCGCGCTACTCTATGATGTACGGGCAGCAGCAGCAGCAGGCAGCATTGTACGGCCATCTCGGGATGAGTTCTGGCAGTGGGTTCCAGATACTGCAGAGTGAGGCAGCTGCACCTGTGCATGACGGAAGCAGCGGTGGCAGCGGGAGTTTCGGTGATTTCGGATTGGGCAGTGGTTGCGAAGGCGGGGAGAGGAGCTAGGGAGCTCTAGTGATGGATGGTGGTGGGTGGCCAGAGGTAAAACTACTAGGGAGTATTAAATTAATTATATTAATGATGGACATAGTTAATGTAATCTCATGCATGTTTTTGACTTTTCATTTTGGATGCAAATCTGAAATGCATGCAGAGATGATCAGCTAGCTTAGCTTAGCTTGATGCAGCTGGTAGAGAGAGTAGCTTCCTATGTATATGTTTAGGTCATCCTAGATTATTCTAATATGTGTTTCTTCATCTTCTATTCTCTCATCACTTTACCATCTAGTCTTCAACTTAAATGCATGCATTAGCTTGGTTCTAAATAAATGCTTGAGTTAATTCCCTAAATAGGATTAAAACAAGAGAAGTGCACAAATAATACTTTCATGTTTCATATGACTAAAAATGTATTCAATTGACAAAAATATCCTTAATGAACTTCTAATTCTATTTAGGATTACAAATAAAAAATAAAAAATGCTAGAACCCTAGCAGATCCGCCGCAGGAAGAAAAACTGCCGCCACCCTTTCTGTCGCCGCCACCCTTTCTACCACGGTTGCCCTTTCCGATGTCGCCAATCCAACCACCACCATCTCTGCAATTTTGTAGTTGCCTAAAAAAAGAAGTTAGTCACAACATAAAAATGAAAATATTATGTCATGTTAATAAAATGAACATTATATTGGCAAATTCTTTCAACTGACTTGGCAGTTTATTGAACAAAATAAGAACTTTTCTGTCATAATATAAACATTTGATACTAAGTCACAAATTTCTGAATAAAAAAAGAAGCCATAAATTTCTGCCATAACTTTGATTTCAGACATAATATCAAGTAAGTTTTCTGTCACAAATTTGGCAGAATATGAAGTCAATATCCAAAATTGTTATACAAATTTCTGCCATTAACTTGGCAAAATCCGAGGCCATCATCCAAATTTTGGAAAATTAATTTTGTTTTTAAACTAAGAAATCAGAAATTAGAAATCGGAAATACGAAATAGAAGTCCGAAAATTGACAAAAAATCGGTGTCAAAACCCAGAAAAATAAAGAAATATGAGGAAAATTGAAAAAGAATAAGAAGGAGAATGAGAAGAATGAGAAGGAGGAGGAGAAGGAGGAGGAGAAGGAGGAGGAGAAGAAGGAGGTTAAGAAGGAGAAGAAGAAGGAGAAGAAGAAGGAGACATACCTTCTTCTTGACTACCATGATGGAAGAGAAGGTTGTAAGAGATAGGGGCGACAAAGAGAGACGAAGAGAGAGTTGATTGAGAGAGCTCCAATCATGGGAGAGTGGAAAAAGAACAGATTGTGAGAGCTTCAGCCATGGGGGAGCAGTCATGGGAGAGCCACGAGAAAGTCGATCGTGAGATCGTGAGAGGAGTTGCAGTTAATTCCTAGGGTTCTATTTTTATTATAAAGAAAGTATAAAGGTAATCTAGAGTCTTATTTAGGGAATAAAAAAGATTTGATCTTATTTGTGCATTTAAACTTATTTTTAATCCTATATAGGATAATTACTTTAAATGTTTGTGTTCATTATGCATCCTAGCTGACTAAATATCACCGGTACTCACCAGCTATGTTTACTTATAAGGAGCATAATTAGGCATGTCAATGGGTCGGGTCTGGATCGTAACGTAGTGTTCTAGATCCAGACCCTCTAAATTAATAATGAATCCGGACCTAACCCGTCAACCCGGTGGGTCTGAAAATTTGGACCCGGACCCAGATCCAATGGGTCTCGGAATCGGGTCAGGTAGATCTGCCTGCCAAGTATGTGTCTGCCAAGTATGATACGCACACCATTATAAACTTTGTGAAAATAACAAGACATGTGTGTGAATTATAAAGCAAAGTGTACAAATTTAAAAGCAAGATATATTTTCACTTTTCAAAAAAATCAAGATCTCTTATAGAAAATTAGTACTTTTATCGAATAAAGTATCGGTTCTTGTACATGCATATAACTTCACACTCTGCATCGCCTTCTCTCGCACAAAAGCTCGTAGAATAAAATAGAAACTAAGCCATAAAAAGGTTTCTTAGACTACTAAGAGTATAAAATCATATGTAGTATTATACGTAGTATATGATAATGATAAAGGTTACAAATTCTAAGCCATAAAAAGGTCTCTTAACCTTTATTGCAAAATTTAGTACATGACTCAAATATTAGTGATTATATTTTTTTAAATCAAATTTTGATTTATTTATGTGTATTCTTATCAAAATATATTTAACGACTTTTTTCTGGCTTTAAAAAATTGTGTTACAAATGTGTTTTTGAAGTTATTCTTTATTAAAATTATTCTGAAACATGTTATTTTTAAATTATATTACTAATTTTTATTTTGTAATGTACGGAGTAATAATTAGCACTATGTTATTATAATTTCCTTTTTGTTATGACGAAAAAGAAACAAGATTCAAGGAATTTGAAGAGAAAACTTCAAGGGAATTTAGTTTTGTAATCTTTAGCAGGTTTATTCTCTTCGTAGATCTAGAACAATTTATCTTGGATTTGGAACATTTTTATTTGTCTAGGACACCAAGACTTATGGAGATGGTCCCTGTGAAAAAAACAATTCTAATTCGAGTTAGACTTGGGGTACACACTTTTTGTGTACACACTGATGGATAGTCTACCCGGGGATATGTATCCGAAGGTTATTGTGGGAAGTAACTAGAGAGAAGTCAGAACAAAAGTAAGAGAGAGAGAGAGTATATTGCCGAGAATGTAGTGAGCGAGTTTAGCTTGGATCACAAATGGGGAAAAGGGACGATATTTATAGTAGTAATAAATGCCATATATGGACACGTGTCATCATTCTGGTGGTCGAGGGGTCACCTCAACGGGGTGGCACTGACACTCGGATGTGTCCGCATTAAATGCGGTGGTTGGATGTAACGTCTGTACTTGGTACGTTGATCCAGCGCATGTGGGTGAGAGATTCTGTCGAGAAGGAGCCTCCGGCCTTAGATGATTGACCGAAGGTTCTTCCTTCCGGGGGCACCCTAGCTGCCGAGGGCTCTAGGTGCTGAGGGCTGCTATTTTTACTATCTTCTCCCAATGTCTTCGTATGCCTGAAAAAACCGTTCTGTGAGTATCTGGAGCCTTCGGCCAAGGGGCTGAAGGCACCCCCAGTGTGTATTGTTGGTTGCTTGGTACTTGGGGCGCTGTGATTTGGCCTGTTGTGTTTCCTGGGCCTATTGGGCCTTGATAAGAGTAGTAGGAGTCTATGGGCCGGAGTCCCTGGGCCATATACTCCATCACACACTTTTTACACATGTTTGTGTAAGGTTTTTTTTATGTCTGTACAGACATGACATATTTTAAAAATACATCATTTCTGTACAGACATAAAAAAAACCTTACACAGACATGTGTAAAAAGTGTGTACACAAAAAGTGTGTACCTTTAGAATTTTTCTTCTAATCCTTATCACTTGATCTAGTTACGTCCCTATGTACATAAAGATTTTTTATTGGTAATGCATAAATGGTACCTTAACTATTGACAATGTTGTACTTTGTTACCTTAACTCTTAAATGGAACAAAATGATAACTTAACTATACATAAATGTTTCGAATTGAGATTTTATTCAAATTTTCAACAAAAAAATCATTCACGACGATCAAAATTTCAAGTGTAGAGTCACCCTATAGTGATCATATGGAAAAAATAAGGTGAAATAGACTTTATACATGGAGATTTCAACAAATAGGAGCAAAACGTACGTATTTTCCAAAACTAAGACCGAAGATTAGCGTAATACTCAACTACACTTGCATTGACCACAATACCCTTACTTTTAGAAAATAACAGACATTAAATAGACAATAAATAGACGATAAGTAGACAATAAATAAACAACAAATTCTGATAAAATAATCTATTCAAATCCAAGCCCAAATCCCATATTGAAGCTACGGAATCCTTGGTCATGGTGCAAAGTTGCGTTGAACATGGAAGAAAAATCGCAAATAAGACCACAGTGGAAAATCGCAAATAAGATCTTGGTGGAGGAGGTGAAGGCATGGCAGAGCGCGACGTCGCCGGGAGGTGGCGGTAGTGCCGTCGCCTGACAATGCAGGCAGATTCATCGGATGGCCACTTCCTGGGGGAGGCGGAGGCAGCGGCTCCATGGAGGTGGCGGCGGCGACTCCATGGAGGTGGCGGCGGCGACTCCATGGAGGTGGCGGCGGCGGCTCCCTTGAGGTGACGGCGGCAGCCGCTCTCAGGAGGTGCAACGGTTGTCTACTTGGGTGTGAGGCTGCAGCTTCGTTTGGGTTGCAAAGATTAAAGCCTGAAAGGCAAATTTGGAAAGTTAGAAATAGGTTTCCTAATCTAGAACTAAATAGGTAATATGAATGGAAAAAACATTAGCAGGTATTATTTTTGTAAAAGAGCTATGATTTGGTCCTACTAGGAGCAAATTTCTCTTTATATATAGAATTCTGGCCGCCTCAAGTGATTTTTTGGTCAAAATTTTGAATAAAATCTCAATTCGAAACATTTATGCATAATTGAGGTACTGTTTTGATTCATTTAAGAGTTAAGGTACCAAAATACAACATTACCAATAGTTAAGGTACCATTTATGCATTTGATCGATTTCATTCGACCACTAGTTGCTTCAACCATCACAAAAAAAGGATTTTTAGAATACTCTCATTGACAAGGATGGATTTAGAGGCTCGGGCGTGGGGGCGACCGCCCCCCTTGGACTTTTAAAAATTTTCATTATATATGTAATATTTTCATAACATTTTTCATACTTTAATTAGATATATTTGTGTTCGCCCCTCTTAACTTTTAATTTTCAAAATTAATATATAGCCTTACATAATGTAAAACTTAATTGGAGATTTAAAAGAAGAAACGTCTAAAATAATTTACATACTTAAGCAAATAACAATATAATAGAACAACTTTGATCATTGTTTAAGACTTGGGATATTTATTATATAAAAATTCTTAGTTTTGTAATGTTTAGTTATCTTTATTAGATAATTAGTACTCAATTTTTGTAAAATATCAAATGATATTAATTAACAGACACATTAGTTAAATACTCCCTCCGTCCCATTGGAATGTTCCCGGTTTGACCGACACACATATTAAGGAAATAAATTTACCAGGGGGTAAATTTTACTGTTTTGACACTGTTTCGACACTATTTGGCACTGTTTCGACACTGTTTGACACTGTTTTGCACTGTTTGACCCTGTTTTGATGTAGGATAACTTTCCATTTAGGGAAATGAGAACTTTCCAACGGGGCATCCAAAAAAGGAAAGCGGGAACATTTCAACAAGACGGAGGGAGTAGTTTTTAG